GACCGAACTAAGGATAGTTCGGCCTACCTTGTGGCTCAGCTTAGCCAGTTTACTTCGGTCAATTGGTAGTTCGGCCGCGGTAAAAACCATCCCACTTGGTTTAAGCAGTTGGGGGGGGTGTAAAAGGATAAGCATTATCCTTTAGGAGTATGAATCCTAGGAGGACTCTGCATGGAGAAATAAAAGTCCTACTAGGATTGTGCCACTCAAAACTTATAAAAGCTCACAAGCATCACCTTGGAGGAGGTAACATAACACAACATACAATTTTGCTTCCTGAATACATTGAGCTTTGTCTATTTGTCAGGGTGAAGGGAACGAAGCCTTCATTGTCCCAGGGAATGACGTCTTTTTCGGCCAGGACCAGATGGACGTCGTCAGGTATTTGGTAGTCTTTCCTGAATTCGGCTAGGCCGCCCGGAGTATTTACTAAGTATCTATACTTCCCCATCTATCGTATAATTTAAGAATAAGTTATTTCGGTGCAAATATTGTGCTCAGTAGCTCGGTTGAGCGCACGCAGGAGTGCCTGGGCAAGCTAAGTCTGCAAAGTAGAAAACACAGGTTAAGCACAGATCATTGGACCGTGCTACAAATTAAAAGCGAGGTTAAAAAGTCCTACTTCGGCTTTATGGACGGGTTCTATCTCGGTTCAGCGAAATGCTTGGTAGCTCGGTTTGAGCAAGGTTCTTATTAGCCAAACCTTGGCGACATCTCGGCATACTGGCTTTGGAAACAATTTTGTTAGACCGGTTCATAGTCTAGGGGCAGCTTTCTGAGTTCGGTCTAAAAAACAAAGAAAGCTGGCTCAGCCCCAAAGGCCTAAATCGGTTGAAACTGGGAGTTTTATTATTTCGGTTGAGCCTTTAGGGGCAGCTTTCTGAGTTTGGTTTAGAAACTAGGAAAGCTGGCTTAGCCCCAAAGGCTTAGCTCGGTTGAAAACCGAGGTTCCTAGTTTAATGTCTTCAAACTTCGTTCGGTGATCTCATTTCGGCTAAGGTGAATCGGAAGTCGGTTATTTTTTGAAGCTGTTGTTATTTCTACAAGATCTAGTTCGGTTATTTTCTGTATTGATCTACCTATATAGCACAAAGTAGTATCCTAGTTCGGTTGGGACAAGTTTTTGGATCAAAGACTAGTCTTCTACAGGATATTACATACACGCACGAGTTCAGTGAAGTACAGAAGCAAAGCAGAAAATAGACTAATATGTTTCGCAAAAAAAATGGAAAGCAAAATACGAAAATTAGATTTGCTTACCAGAGTAAAAAGGAAGAAGCTAGAAGATGGAAGCAATGGCAGCAATGAAGGGCACGAACACAGCAAGCTCAACTCAGGGCTCAGGAACAAGGGAGAGAAGAAATAAGGAATAACGTAAATGATTCAAAAATGAAAGGGTTGTTTTTTGTAAAGGATGAAAGGCAAAAGAGCGGGACTGTTCAAAAATTTCGTAGTACGAGGGCGGCATGACAGCTGCCCCAGCCTATCAGAGCCTGCCACGTGTCTTTGGAAAGGGAAGCGTTACAGTTATGATTGAAGAGACGTTTTGACCGGACAAAACAGAGCCCGGAGTAAAATTAGCTCGGCTTAAAAGGCGTAGGAGTTTTTAGCTTGGCTGGAGAGGCTAAAGGGTTTTTAGCTCGGCTGGAAAAACTTAAAAAATCCAGCTCGGCTAGTAGACTGGTAATCCCAATCATGCTGTGCAGATGGAATTAAGGGGCAATTGAGAGGGTAATTTTTGGTGAAAATTGGGCCGAGCTGTGAGATGGACTTTGTGGCCCAAAATACGAAGGACTGTGTAAAAAGGCCGTAATGTTACTCCGGCCCAAGAAAGGTAAAGTTACTCCGGCCCAAGAGATAAAGTTACTTCGGTCAAGAGGAATGAAGTTACTTCGGCCCAGGAATTGTAAAATGACTTCGGTTTGGACAACTTGGAGTTAGTCCGGTCTTCGAGTTAGTCCGGTCATGTCGTATTCTGGATAGATCGGTCAAGACCATACTACTCGGCAGCTCGATCCCAACACACCATGGTTGAACAAGAGAGAACCGAGATAAGGAGTGGATGGAGAAAACTGAGCTAAGGATAGTTCGGCCTACTCTGTGGCTCGGCATAGCCAGTATTACTTCGGTCGAATGGTAGTTCGGCCATGGTAGAAACCATCCCACTTGGTTTAAGCAGTGGGGGGTGTGTAAGAGGATACATTATATCCTTTAGGAGTATGAATCCTAGGAGGACTCTGCATGGAGAAATAAAAGTCCTACTAGGATTGTGCCACTCGAAACTTATAAAAGCTCACAAGCATCACCTTGGAGGAGGTAACATAACACAATATACCAATTTTGCTTTCTGAATACATTGAGCTTTGTCTATTTGTCAAGTTTTCTGACTTAGGCATTGGAGAGATTTCCGACACACACCCGCCGGCTAGCTCACGTTCGTGTTTTCAGGTGACAAAGCGACGTCGTACGGAGAAGCGTGGACTTCGTCAACAGGATTATACGAGGAGAATTATTTCTTCCCCGTACATTATCCATAATGATTTTATAACCATTATAATATTTCTTACTCTACAATGTGTTTATAAGTTGTTTATCAATTTTAGGAGATAACAATTAAAGAGAGAGAGGTATATGGTTTGTTTCGGGATTGGAACCATGAAGTATATGTACAATGCACTTTTGTAATATTTGTGAAAATTGACCTATTTGATTGATGACCTTTTTGTTACAAATAAATAGAAACCCCGATGTATATTTTGATATCCTACTTAATTAATTATTTTCACGTGCGCTTATTCATTTAATTGTTTTGTACTTGGCCTTGGATAACTATGGTTTTTGGCTATAACAAAGCTTAACCCTTAGGTATGGGTCATGATGGGCTAAGTGCAGTACTTGGAACACTAGCATTTCATTGACATTGGGCATCAAAACCACCATAGAAACCAGCATTCCATTCATTGCAGATGGACATGTCGAAATTTCAGCTGAGTTTACTAGAGCATACATGTGGGGAGAAACTCAATCGTTGATGATTGAAGTGGATATTGTGTACAAGGTCACTTGTCCGAAAAAGACCAAGGTGAAAGAGAGTTGCCTGGCGACAAGAGGTTCATGCAACATTCCGTTCTTTTACTCCCAACGCGACACCCTTACTAGCGGGGAGCAAATTATCTACGATAAGGACGATGGCATTTTCGCTGGCATCAACTGCTACAACTTCAAGTACAAGGCCAAGCATGAAAAGCTCAAAAAGTCGTTTTCATAAGTGAAATGCCGCGATGTTTGTAGGAAATATTTTTGCAAACCTTCACAAGACTTTACTCATTCTCTAACGGTAACTTAGGCTCAGTTTGTTTAGGATGAAATAGGTAGAAAGTGAAAGAAAGAGAAAAAAATAATAATTTGTATGAGTTTGTTTAGCTTGAAAGTGGTGGAAAGAATAAGAAAATTAATTTTCTTGTATAACCTATATTAGTATATTGTAACTATTTTTTTATTTCTTGCAAAAAGAAAAAAAAAAGAAAAAACATAAGAAATATAAGAAAAATTGAATGTGTGAGTTATCTATAACTAAACTTTTAAATTTTTGTATTTTTTTCTTAAAAAATTTTCATCTTAATCAAATACTTGCAAGAAAACGTATTTTATTTTCTATTTCTTTTCTTTCAATTCATTTTCTTTTACTTTCATTTTCTACTAATTTTTTTTTTTTAATCAAACGGAACCTTAGGGGTTTAAAAGACTAGTTGCATGTGCTAAATACAATAGCGATCCCGCGAAAGTGGCATTCTTATATTTTATATTTGTTTCAAAATTTGTTTTCAAGTTCAATAATATTGTTATACGGTTTGTGGCCCAGTAAGATGATTTACTAGGTGCGGCAATAAAACTCTGCTTTTTTCCTTTACCCGAGTCTCTGTGTGACTTCTTGTGAATGTTTTATTCTCACAATTTGAGAGCTTAAATTTAGAACATATGTTTCTTTTAATTAATTTATTTTTTGATTGGCAAGGAGAAACTTTATTGATGATCATAACCGAATACATCAATAAAGAGGAGCTTGGAGCTAGACGTAGCTCCAACCTCCTCATTGGTGAGAAACCAACGCGCGGACAAAAAACAAAATGGATGGCATGCACTGAAAATGAAGCTACAAAATGGAATTACACATAAAATCTCAATCCACAATAACAATTAAAAAAATGCAAGAATTTGATCTAGGTGATCACTGTCAAACCTGTTCAACAACGTAGATATGCAAACATAAAAAAAAAAAAAAAAAAAAAAAAAAAAAAAAAAAAAAAAAAACTTATGAACATTACAATATATATTAACTCATTCACACCCAAAATCACAGAAAGATGAAACAGTCCAAGGCAATGAGAGGATTATCAATGTCCTCCATGTGGATATCACCGGTATCTTGCTTATCCAACACTTCTCCAACTGCAATTTCATCGATCTTAGAACCAATCCGGTATGTATGTGCCTCTCTATTCATCAAACACGGTTGATTTATACTCAAATTGTTGTTAGGACTTAATGGCCTAAGATTTTCCTTTCTCTTTGACATAACCGAGCGCTTGCAACAACTTTCCTTAGGTGCAATTCTCGATCCTCCCGTGTAGTTATCACCACTACTAAATCTTCGACTTGGAGATGGGGACGTCAAAGTCCTACTCGAAACAGAGTACATTGAATTGGTCCTCTCTGGTTCCCTCCTAAAGCTCTTTTGTCGTGAAAGAGTAGGCGAAATTGCACGAGCCCTCTTTTGTGGAGTTGAGCCAACATGCTTCATTGGCACTACATTTTGTGTTGTTGGTTTCTCTAATTTTTGAAGCTTTTCAAGACTTCCCTTGCTTGGATCAATGTGGATCACATGCGGATTTTCCTTGACACAAGACCACAAGAACTCGTTGGAGAACAATCTCTCCTTCGAGGTTATGATTGAGGATGATGATGACAACGATGACAATGAACATGAGTTGCTAATGTTGCTTGTGGTGCAAGAAAATGAAGAAATTGAAGAAGAAGAAGTGGGAGAATGAGGAGAGAGAGGTTGTTGTTGTTGTTGTTGTTTAGTTGATGAGGATAGAGGAAGAGGAAGAGGAATAGGAGAGATTGGAGCTTGTGAAATTACCAGTTTGTCCTCTATATGATTGTTGGACTCTTCTTTCTTGTGCTTTCTCTTGCGTTTGCATTTGCTAATGCAACACCCCATTGATTGACACTGTTAAAATTGTCGAAGGGTAGGTACTGCGAAGTCTTGAAATCTATATCTATAGATAATAAAAGGCAAAGGGAAAGGTTCAAAGGTTGAGTGGTTTTTACTTTTTGTTGTTCACTTTTTTTCAGATTTTTGAATTTTGTTGCCGGGTATAAATCCGTTCTATAACGGTTATGTAGAGAAAAGTGTTATGGCGGGCTGCTTTTCATTTTTTAATTTATTTTTCATCATGTTTCTCCAACTTTAGAGAGACAAATATGGTGGAAATCAAGATGAGGGGCATGTCATTCACTTGTTTTGAATCTAGTGAGGTCACCAGGGTAGCACACTAACCATAAGTAGAGGTTCAATGTTTTTTTTTTTTAGAAAAATTAAAAAGGGGGGTAAATTACAAACTTATAACAAAATAAATTTTTAATTTTTAATTTTATCAATTTAAATTTTAATATTTTGATTTGAAACTATTTATTTATTAAGGTGAGTAAATATTTAAGTCATTTCACAGTGTACTTTTTTTTTAAATTTTTTTACAACAAATTGGATTATATTATAGTAAACAACAATGATTAGTAGCCCGAATTTTAATGGTCCGAATACTTCGAATATATCGAAACGACATCATTTTGAAAGTAAAATGATATCGTTTTGATACATTCGAACCATTCGAATCACACAAATTCGAGTTACGAAACATTTTTTCTATAATAAAACATGGTTGTGGAGATACAAATTAAAGATTGCAAGCCATTTTGCTAGAAATAAAAAAAAAATAATAATTCCTTAATTCGGAAGGCCATATTTCATAATAAAATTAAATAAAAAATTATAATAAAATAAAATAATAGTTCTTTTTTAGATAAAAAATTACTATTACATCATAAAATAAAAATTAAATTGTAAATCAAATAAAATAAGTATGATACTTTCTTCATTTGAAAGTTCAATTAAGTCAAAACAATTCCTTAAAATGCATTGATAAATAATCCTTTTATACTATAATATTACAACAAAAAAATGAACATGAAAACCTATTTCCCCTTGCCACAAAAAATAAATAAAATCTTATCACATTTGTAGACCCGACTTTCTTCGCACGCTCCCCTTTTGGAGAGGGCGCGAATTGGTCTTACTACAGTTTGGACTCCTGTCACAGTTCTGAATCTAATCTCACAAAGTGCAATGTGAGACTGATAAACACCAAAGAGTTCAAATCCGGCAAATCGTTTTGAAAAATCGATTTTGAATAAAAAGCGCCAAACATGGATTCCTTTGTCAGATTACAGAGTCGTCACTTAAATATTTTATTTTGAAAAATTTAGGAAACCCTTACTCGTGTCAAAGGCCACGTATCCGTCATCACCAAAGTTACCTCGGCTCGGGAACTTAGGTATGAGAGGGGAAGGTCCTGAAATGAGCATTCTCGCTCGTCCGATCAAAGGATCAGCCTCTACTAAGCATGATATGTTGTTTGATAAACACATGTGTTTTTAGTCCGGTTATTATCTAGCTTTACTATGTGATGCGCACAGCATACAAGTATAGACTCGATCACGAGAATTGGAACAAAACAACTCATGTTTGTTTTCGAAAATGGTTTGAAAGTGCTACTTGCAAGTAGGCTAAAGCGCGGATTTGCCACCCTCAAGTGGGCTTAAAACATGATTTTGCCACTTTGCAAAGTGGGCTTAAAACTCTCATTCGTCGAATTGTCCCAATTTAGGAAATCAAGCCTTCACCTACAGGCATTCAAGCAGTTAAGCACTTAAGCAAATAACCTCATGGCAAGCATGTTATCATGGCAACACTCACACTCATATAAGGATGCTAAAGCGTAACACTCACAGTGTACTTCGAGCCAAAACAAAAGCCAGTTAGAAACAATGCATGATCCTAACTTATGCTAAGATGCCTAATGCAACACATGTAATAATGCAACTAAATAGGCTCGGCTACCTAAGATGGCGTATGAATGCAACAATTTGGCACATGTATTCAAAGAAGTGTTGAAATACGATGCAGTTTGAATGATGCGCCGAGCCCGGTGCATGCAAGACAAATGAATGATGTACGCATGCAAGAATAAGGTATGCTAATCAAAATATGCCCTAAGACTAGCCATCGAAAGCGGTTAAGTAAAAAGGAGAAAGAAGTGGGGTTGGAAGACATGCACACACACACGCACACTTATTACAACATTGTGCCCTCTCGAAGGAGGGTCCGAATAAATAAGCTAACTAGCTACGCTAAGCTAAGCTAACTATTGCAAACCAACTAATTAACTAACTTAGCTAATTATTTATTACAACACAAATGAAATTGAATAACTAGTTAATCTAAGCTCATTAGAATATTACAAAGATGAATTAAATTAGCTAAATACATTAACTAATTAATTATAAAACTGGTAAATTAACTAGCTAAGTAAAGCAGTAAAATGGCCTCGAGAGGAGGGAGACATGCATGCTCGGTTTGCTTCGTCTGAAAATGCATTGCCTTGCCATGAGTTGCCTCTATTTGCACTCGCGGTGATCACAGAACATCATGTGAACTTCCAGATTGCATCTGCCCCAACACAGGAACATTTTGGACAATTTTCCCTGCAGGTGGCCGGCTGGCCACCTCAACTGGTTGGTAGGCTACCTCAACTGGCCGGCCGGCCAGTGCAAGTGGTCAGTAGGCTAGTGCAAGTGGCCGGCCGGCCACTTCTCTTTCCAGAATTCTACCTTTGCTGTAACAGAGAGCAATAGAGCCAAGATAATGTATTTGGCAAGAAATGTGTGTACTACCACCCTTCTCATCATGTCTCAAGCTCAAAGGAGTGTGGTACTTGGCTCTCAAGCCACCAATCAAGCGTCTCAATGTATGGTGGCCAAAGAACCAAGCTTGTACAAGCTTAGTGAATGCGCACATAAGACTCAAAGTGTCGTCACCCTATCATGCATGATCAATGGTGACAACGACCAAGAAATGTGACACGTTTCATCACTTTGAGTATGAAATGCGCCACATTTCTTGTGTTTGGATTAATGTCCGATCCAAATACATGCAATGCAACACACATATGTTATCTTGGCATGTTTTACTTTGCTTAATTCTTGTTTACTCATTTTCACTTTACCAAACCATTCTTTAATCGGTTAAGTCCAATGTGCAAGTCCTCTAAGGAGAGGAGGTCAACCAAAAGAATGGTTTAAGGCATGAGAGAGATCGTGCCTTTGGCTAGGAGGAATCCTCGTAAGAGAATTAAAGCCATTTATGCACGAACTCTATCAAGCTTAAACACAAGCATAAGGTAAACCAACCCTCAAACCAAATCAAAAGTGAAGAAATGTGGGAGGTGGAAGAATTTTAGTGCTAAGGTGGCATGAAAAACAACACTCTAACATGCAAACAACTCATGTACAACATGTTAGCGGACTTAAGCACTGAAACTAGTGAATGATGCAACACTAGAGGCATGCAATATCATGCTTAAATGGCCAAACCAACCTTAGATAGACCTCAAACATGCTAAAATAGTGGCCAAAATGTGCTGAAATTGAAGCACAAAAGAGTGGAAGATCATGCGCACATAGTAGCTCGCAAGAAAGGCATAAGGGACAACTCTTAAAAGCCAATAAAGAGCGGTATATGTGAGAGTATGACAGAAGTATATGCTCTGAAATCACATGCTAAATGATGTCATATCATGCAAATAACTCAAATAAAGCATGTTAAAGGGCCTGAAGCACAAAGCTAGTGAAGCTAACCATACTATAGCTATACAAAGCAAGTCTCAAGAGACCAAGACCACTCAAAACAAAGCTTAAGCATGTCAAAGCAAGGCCAAAAACATGCTGAAATGGAGCCAACACATGCTAGAATAATAGGCTACAACATCAAGTAAGCAAGGCTAGCAAGCATGATTACACTATAAGTGTAAGAAGCAAGCAAGAGGTGCTCCAACCAGTCCAAAACAAAGTTATAACATGTCAAAAAAGTCACAAAAACATGCTGAGATCAAGTCATTAGATGGTAGAAAAACATGCTCAACTATTAAGCCATCTATGCATACAAACAAGATACAAGGAGAGGGGACCACCCCCTCCTATTTTGAGCCTCAAAACCAACTTTCTACCACTGAAATTCTTCTGAGTTTCAGTGGTAGAAAGACCAAACAAAGGGTGTTCCAAAAGCTAAGAAAGGTGGCTCAAAAGGCTTTACAAGCCAAAGAGCCAAGGGAGGAAATCACCCCCTAACCAAACAAGATTCAAACCAACATTTTAAAGCCTTAACATCAGAGTTTTTAAGAGGTTAAAACCAGCCTTAAAATAGCATACAAAGGTGGTCAAGCACTTAATCAAAACAAAGCTTAAAAGGGACAAGTTGTTACCCTTGAAGTACAACAATAATTCAGCAACAATTTTGAACCAAAACTAAGCCTAAGACCTCCAACCAAGCTTCAATGAACCTCAACTCCAAAGTGAAGGTGTTTGACTAGGTGTTTTAGTGTAAATATATGAAGAAAACTCACTTTTAAGCACAAAATAGCACAATATATATATATATAGAGAGAGAGAGAGAGTTCTAGAGAGAGAGAAATTTCAGCTCTGAAATTTTGTAACCCTCTAATAGGGAGAGGGACCTCCCCTTATATAGAACAAGCAAGCAAAAAGCTTGCTTCATCCCTCCATACATATGGAGGATGAGCCTCAGTGAGTAACAGCTGGCTCAAAAAATCTGAAAATCTCTAAAAAAGGAAAAAATTGGCTGGCTGGCCGACCGACCACCTCCCCTAGCTGACCGACCACTTCAAGTGGCCTACAAGGGAGAAAAGTGGCCAGCAAGTGCCACAAGTGGCCGGCAAGGTCTTTCTCCCCTCTAGGCAAGAGGCATCAAGGTTTGGCCCAAAAACAAGGCCAAAACACAGAGTGTTAAGAGGCTCAAAGACAAGATGCTCAGCCGAGAACTTCAGACACTCAAAACGAGCGCAAACATGCACAATCATCGAGTGCGCAACCGATGACGTCAAAGTCTTGAGGTCGGTCAAAAATAGGGTGTCTACAA